AAGGGCCATGGATCAAGGATATGATTCATTCTGGGTAATTGTGGAAACAAAAGCTCACTTTGTGAATTTGAATGTGGATCTCCAGGATGATTCCCAGGCCCCCGGTGGAAAGGATAGAAGCGGTGCAGGAAGGAACTTTTCTTCCCAGGAGTTCATTTATCATGCCCAACCTGACATGCTGCATTCCAGCACACAGCAGCCGTTTGGGTTTTCCCTCATGCTTCCCACTATTTCTTACTCTGAAGAAAGTCCTCACACAGCCCACAAGCGAAGTATTTATAAAATGTATAATTTCTCAAACTGTTTCAGTAAAGAATGTATTCCCACCCTAAAGGCACTGTGAAAGTTAGACATTGGAAACTCTAGACTCGGCGTATCTGCATTGGCGTAGGCCGATGACCTTGTGTTCTTTATTGGTGTTTTTGGTAAGTGCTTACATCGCAAGTTAAATTATTCAAGAAAAATAAAATCTAATAGTGTTACTAATTTTTAAATGAAAAATTCCTTAAGTGTCTAATACTGTTCTGACCAAGGCCAATCAATCTATTTTAAAAACAACCCTCTTTAAATCGTTGTCTTGTTTTATTTGGGTTCCATTGGGGTGAGGGGCACGTGATGACAAAAGCTGCACAACTGTCTTTGTACGAATTTTTTTCCCTTCTATAAGAGTAAACATTTCTAATATGTTTGGCCTGGAACTTTCTTTGTTGGGGTTTTAAAATTGAAGGTAGGAAGTAAGAAATGAAAAAAATAATTGTTTCCAATAAAGGAAAAAATAAACAAATGGGATATTAAATTAAAAAGCTTTACATGGCTAAGGAAACCATCATGAAAACAAAAAGGCAACCGACCATATGGGAGAACGTATTTGCTGTTGATACATCGGACAAGGGTTTGATCTCCAAAATATATAAAAAACTCAGATGACTCAACACCAGGAAGATCAACAATCCAATTTTAAAAAGGACAAAGGACCTGAACAGACACTTCTCCAAGGAGGACATACAGATGGCCGACAGACATATGAAAAGATGCTCAACATCACTAGCCATCAGAGAGATGCAAAAATTAAAACCTCAATGCGATACCGCCTCACACGGGTCAGAATGGCCATCATTAGTAAATCAACAAACAGCAAGCATTGGCAAGGACGTGGAGAAAAGGGAACCCTAGTGCACTGTTGGTGGGAACACAGACTGGTGCAGCCACTTTGGAAAACAGGATGGAATTTCCTCAGGAAAATAAAAATGGAACTGCCTTTTGACCCAGCAGTTCCACTGCTGAGATTACATCCTAAGAATCTTGAATCACCAGTTCAAAAGAACATATGCACCGCAGTGTTCATAGCCACACAGTCTAAAATAGCCAAGTGCTGGAAACAGCCTAAGTGCCCATCAGTAGATGATTACATGGAAAAACTGGAACACAATGGAATACTACGCAGCAGAGAGAAAGCAGGGACTCCTATCTTTTGTGATAGCATGGATGGAGCTAGAGAAAAGTAGGCCAAGTGAAATAAGGCAGTCAGTGAAAGACAAATATGGTGTGATCTCACATATAAGAGGAATCTGATGAAAAAATTAGCTAACAAGCAAAAATAGAACCAGAGGCATGGAAACATCGAACAGACTAACAGCAGCCAGAATGTGTTCTCACACATTCAACAAGGGAAGTACATTGTTGTAATTATGGAAAGAAGAGGAAGAGACTAGTCAAAAAACATGAATGAATGACCCATGGATGTGGACAATGGTGTGGGGATTGACTGTGGGAGTGGGCTGGGCGGAAGAGAGCAAAGGGGGAAAATTGGGACAACTGTAATAGAATAACAATAATAATTCTAAAATAACAATAACTGTTTTACACAAATGTTTATTTGTGTGTTATGACCAGGAAATGTACACCCTTGCCAATATCTCTTCTCTTGCCAGACAGGGTTAATACTCTGGGTGCTGAGCTATGTCCCAGGAGGCAAAGAGACTGAGGGAGGGGATTTATGACTCCTGAAAAGGCCTGAGCTCTTTACCTCTTGTTCCATTGGTTCCTTCAATGGTAGACTACACATTCATTCAGAATAGAGTTTTCCCCATGTGAACCAGATAGAATTGTGGATCAGTTACCTGCATTTCAATGTGGATTTCTCCAATACCACACTTGATATGCTTTGAAAGCAGGAATAGATCACACCTTTCATATACTACATTTTTTACTTATTTCCTTTTCTCATTGCTTTATTTCTTCCACAAATAATTACTGGGAACATTATGCTGGTGACAGACGCAATGGTAATAATAATAATTAAGTAGGAGTAATCTACTTCCTAGTCATTTGAAATTACATATTATAATACCATCAATTGTGATCAGAGAAAATAGTATATAAATAGTATTTTGCTGAAATAATTTCAGCATTATGGTGTCCATCAATACTAAGAATTTTAAGTTTAAAATAAATTAAAATTGCTATATTATGTCAATTGAAGGAATTCAACATAACAGTATTCCCTAACAGAATAACAAAATTCAATATTATAGCTGTTATTAAAAAAAGGAAAAAATCAACCCTAGTTGTTTCCTCCTTCTCAACTATTGGTATCATCTTCCAACTTTTTTAAAAAAGATTTTACTTATTTTCTAGAGAGGGGGAAGGGAAAGAGAAATAGAGGGAGAGAAACATCAATGTGTGGTTGCCCCTCACATTCCCCCAACTGGGGACCTGGCCCACAACCCGGGTATGTGCCCTGACTGGGAATCGACCCAGCAACCACTTGTTTTATAAGCCCGCACTCAATCCACTGAGCTATACCAGCAAGGGCTCATCTTCCAACTTTTATGTTGCTTCCTGAGAAACACATATCTTACCCAATTTTACCTTAAGGATAAATCCTATGGAGGTAATAACAAAAAACCTAATGTCTGAAAGGAGATGCTATAATGGGAAAGTACTATACTGGAAAGAATTTTGAGAATTTTATAAGTATCAAAAATATATTTGTGTTATTGTACTTAAGCCTTATTGTTTGGGTTTGGATTTTGTCTCATGAAAAGAACATATAGTATATTCCCTTTTCTGATGTGCCATGAAACACAAACACTAATGGAACAGTTGCTGTCTAACTGTTAAGTCTGCGCTACCAGCAGGGTAGCTCCTGCAGTGCAAGAGCTTGGTCCATTTACTGACCGTGTCCCCAAATCCATGTCCAGCAGAGTTCTGGACTCAGTGCTTATTCAGGGAGTGCACTGATTGCAAGACTATACAATTACATGCATTTATATGGTTCCTCATAGCTTTCAAAGCATTTTTACTTAGGTTATTTTATTTGGCTATAACAGCAATTCTGTGAGAAAAGTAAAACAGGTGTTTTAATCAGTGAATAAAGTTGCAGCTCAGGTGGATTATGGCAGATCCAGGATAGGAGGAGGGAGACTAGGTCATAATAGTTCACTGGGTTCTTTTAATATCAATTATTATCATCCAATAAATAGTTACTGTTGTGGACCAGTCACTGTGCAAAATATTTTAACTGAGTTATCTTACTTAACTCCTACAGCAACCCCATGATACAGAACTCGATTTAGCCCCATTTTAGGGATGAAGAAAATGAGGCCCAACAAAGTTAGGTAACTTGTGCAAGCAACACAGCTAGTGTCAGCACTAGGCTTGAGGCTCGAGCAGTGTGAGGTCACAGCCTAAACTCTCAGTGTGGCCGACACGCTGCTCTACAGTTTGTAGGACGTCCCTCTAAAACATTTGTCCATATACACCCATGACTCAAAGAACTACCGTGACTTCATTAAATTATTTGCTATTGTTATAGTAGATGTTTTTGAATGTTTCTATAAGTTGATTAGCCAGAGGTGATTGTTGTTATAGGTTAGAGGATAAAAGAGAAAAAGAAAAGAAATACAGAATAAGGTAGACAAGTTGCCAAGATTAGAAGAGGGGCAGGGTATCATTCTTCTGTTACAGAATAAGGCACCTCCCAGGTGATGGAGAATGAGTCTGAAAAAAATTTATGTAATGCAGCTGAATATGTGTCTTATAAGATTCTCCAGTCAGAGAAGAGCCAACCAAGTGGGATGATCACGGCAGGGGAAACCCTCACTCGCGCCCAGCAACGTGGCTTTTTAACTGATGTTCCCACCCACTCACACCAGTGTGAATGTTGGGAAGCTGTCTCCAGCTGGAGCTCTCCTCAACTACTCAGTAAAGAATGCACCTCACCCTGACTCACTGTCCAGAGTAGCTGAGAACGCACTAAACTTCAGGAGAGCAGAAGCCTAGAGATATAGTTCCACTCCCGATAAGCTGCAGGAATTGAGAGTATGAGGACCATGTATGTGGGCAAGTACATTCAAACCAACATTGTTTTAAATGCAGTTTCACTTACATTTGCAAAACAGTATAATAATGAAGTAAGAAAGGTAGAGTGGAATCATTAACATGATTTATAACCTATAAACTCAAAGGCTACATGTCACAATAATAGTAGAGAGACCACTGGACCCGAGCTTGCCATCTTGGCAAATAATATGCTGAGGTGGCCTTGGGCAAGTCACATCATCTCTAAATCGTCATTGCCGTGTTGGTCATGTTCTGTAGCTTGGATTTTAAACCACACCTCATCATAACTAGGATAAATAGGTAAATTCATCAAATGCTTTTAAAATAATTTTCAAGTACAGCGATACCTTGGTACCAGTCGTTAATTTGTTCTGGAACTCATGATGAGTGCTGAAACCAACGAGTCCCAAGCAAGCGCCGAGCACTGAAACTTTTTTTTTTCTTGTCAAAATGCAAGAAGTACAGGGTTTGACAAGTTCTGAAGCCGATGAGTACCAAGGTATGACTGTATGTGAATTGAAATGTGTGTCTGATGTATAATGCACACTTATTTCACATTAATTCTGCACCCATTGTCATTTTGGCACTTTTGCTGGAAGTTACTCTCACTTAACACCCAAAGACAGCTTTCCTCACTCAAATTTTCTTTTTCATAGAGCAAATTGGCCAGGAGATGTTGGAAAACCTCAGCCACGACAGAGAAAAGATAAAGAGAGCACGTGAAAGAGTAAGTAGAAGTAATACAACCTTCTCACAAAGTCAGTCAGTGGTGAGACATAAAGCCAAGGGTCTTTGGTACATGCACAGAGTTAGAGTGACATACGTCCAAGGGTCGTGTGTATAAAAATGGCAAGGGTCACAGAGGGGTGTGGAATGTGGGGAGAGTGAGAAAGAGTGCAGGATGGGGACAGAATAAGCTAACTCTGTCCTCTTCCTGACATGCCCCTTGAACTTTGTCAGCCATTGAGAATTTGCTTTTATATCCAGTTCAAGTATCCAGTTTAAAGCTCCTGGGATTATCTACCACGTGTAACTTTTCTAAACCTAAGAATTTCCAAAGATTGTACAGGTGTCAAAAATGTATTTCGGTGCATTTTTTTTATGACTTGGACTTTCTATCATGAAAGAAAAGTGTTGTTTGCCAGTGCACTTTAAAAATAACACAATTGCCCGAAGTGTGGTTTTGTTGTGTGCTAACACTGCTCTTCCTCTCCTAGCTGCGGGAAACGGATGCCAACTTGGGGAAAAGCTCCAGGGTTCTGACGGGGATGTTGAGAAGGTAAGAGCAAGGTAGGGACCCATTTTTCTCTCTCTCCGTTTTTTTACACTGTATTTTTCCATTGTGGCAACGGGGCGTTTTTCAAGCATGCAAGCTTCTGCTTTTAGGATGCCTGCATCAAGACTCTTTCGAAATGACAGAGCACTGGTAATAACTCTCATTTGGACAGGGACACATACCGAGTACCTTAGATTAGAGGGAAAGTTTGAGCTAGGGGGGACACCTCAAGCTATGGGGAAAAATTAGGGTTAGACATGAAGTATTGTTTCATAGCCTGGGGAAGGCCCCATGGCAGGAGCCGAGCAATTTTATTTTCTATTTTGGGAGTCTCTTTCTCAGAGAGGGGATGCAGGCCTGTGGTGCCAGGAGCCCTCTGGTCTTCGCTCTGCGAGTGTTGCCTTTGTTTTCATTTCTTTTTTAAGAGATGCTGTTTGGGGAAATATCTCGATTTTCTGTATTCTTAAAGATGGCTTTTAAAATTTAAAGAATATCTGAATAATCCGAATTCACAGGTGCGAGCAGACAAATGTTAATGTTGTGTATTAACCTTTGATCGATGGAGAATATTTGGGAGAGATTGCAAATAAATGAATGGTTTTAGGTAATATTCTATACTCTGTGTTTTTCGGAGGGCAGTGGGAAATGTTTGCATTGGTCTGAAAATTGGAGTTCTTGTTTTTTCTTCGATGCCCTATTCAGCATGTAATTATTTTACATTCAAAATCTACCAAAATAAGAGTATTATCCAGAATAACCTTCAGTTTGGAACTGTGGATAGAAGTGTGAAGGGGGGGGGGGTGGTGTTGAGAATCGCCTCTTGAATGGCTTGATTGGAATTATAGAGAAGAGAACCTTTTTTCTCATTGATACTCTGGGGACAACTATTTGAAAATAAGTCTTCTCTGATCATGTATCCATGTGTAATAACTTGCTAAAAGTATGTTTGCTGTGTTCCAGCAAACATAGGAACCAATCAAAGGTCTAGTTGCTGAGTTTCCAAGGTCAAGTGATTTCTCTATCAGGCTGGTCAGTAGCAAGTCTCAAGTTCTAGGCCACTTTCAAGCGGTGCGGACCTCACTCCACTTGCCCCTCCTTTTCCCACATGCGCCGTGCCGATTCAGAACCATAAACCAGCAAATGCTCTGATTAAGAGTAATATGTAAATGATCTAGAAGAACCCAAAATCAGCAGAGAAGTGGCAATTGAAAGGGATGCTTCAGTGCCTGTAGACAATAAAAAGAAAAAAGGAAACCGCCCTCTCCAGCTTCCCTGGGAGGGCCCCAGGATGTGAGCTGTAACGGCTCTTCTGCATATGTCTCCATTTTGTCAAGTCTCATTAAAGAGTCCCCCTGCTTTATGTCAATTGAGCTGTCCAGAAATCATTCATCATTTTTAGTGTAAAAAAAAATCATGCGGTTATTTAAATAATATCATATTAATGTTAAAGTTCAGCTGTCATTTAATGGTATGGCTTAATCAGATGTAGCATTTAGGAAAAATAGTTTATTCAGGCTGTATGTGGCTTTCAGGTTGGCAGATTCAAATCAGGATTTATGAGTTTCTAAACCAGTGTATTTCTATCCATGTTTCTGCTTGATGTAACTCACCCTTTTGTGCAGGGCACAGCAGACAGTTATTTCAACAAATAAAGCATCTCCTCATATTGCGTTTGAATAAATTTGCAAGTCATTTAGAGAGGGTGAAGCACAAACAAGTTCTGCAACCTTTGACAGGGCTTTCTGTGGGGAAATTGTACTAACACAGTTGTTTCAAAAGCCCACAGAAGAAAATTAGTCTGCTGAAATCTACTTGGGGTTCTCTTTGTAGGCAAACGCAGTCAATCACAGACTCATCTCCTTGCAGGATCTGTCTAGAGCATGAACAGAAATAGAAAATCCCCAGAGGGGCGTCACCTTGCTATGTCGGAGCCAAGGAAACCCATAGAGTTACCCGTGCATATTAGCGACTGGGTCTTTTACTAGGTACAACTGGAACTGTGGTATAAGCCAAGATACCCAAGTTCTTTAGTCAGTACTGTACCCCAACTAAGACTTTGGAACTACACACAGATGGCGGGTTTGTTTCAGTTTCCGAGTACCGTCCCCCATGGTGTACTCTTTCTTTTGGAATTTGGAAAAGGCAAACATATTTTACCTACTTTATTATTTCTTATAATTGCCCAGGGAAACAGTCTCTAGAGAAGTGGAACCTGGGCTAACGTGCCAAAGTCTTTCACTTAAATGCTCTGATGTTGCTTCCTCTGCTCTCTCCCCACAAGTTCACATGGCATTCACTTCCCACCCAGCTGAGGTTTTATTTCAGAGGGCATGTTCTCTTACCAGAACCGCTCGGCTACATCATGTATCAACAGGTGCTTCTGGTTTAGGAGAAGTTGTAATACGGAACAGTGGGCTCATCCGTCACCTTCACGATGGATAAAAGAATGAAAGTCCTCTTTGTGCAGGGTAACTGCTCACCTGCATAAATCATAAGCTCGCTTATTTCCACATGATAAATTCTGTATGGCTGAGAATAGGTAAATATTCTATAAGGTCCCAAACCAAGGAGTTATTTTATTTGAAAGAATGATTGCTGGTTATTTTAATTATTTAAACTTAGGTTGTTTTTAAATTTGTAAAATGATCATAAGTGGGCATGTTGTGTCCCCTTAGGTGAGTCATTTTGCTTGTTTTGATTAGTCTATTGTGAAGACAGGTAAAACCAAAGTTCCATCAGTGCCAAAGTCTGTACACGCACCCACCTGATTATCTGCAAAACTGACCAAAGACAGATGGGAAATAAAATAAGTAAGTGACAGCCAGTACTGTTTATGCGTTTTAATCTTCTATTAACTTCAAGTGAGGTTTAAAAAATCTATTTCCTTTCTTACTTCATTTTCCTACTTATTTGCCTTCTAGTAAATATGTAATATCTGTATACAAGGCCTTGGGGGGTCCTCAGAGGAAGCCGATTGGAGTTTTGCCTTCAGAGTGCTTCAGTCTAATAAAGAATATGTGCCTCCAAAGTGCTATGGGAATTCATAAAGATTATCTGATTCTCAAGGAAGCTGTTGAAGATTCTGCAATTCCATGATTCTTTACTGGTCATTATAAAGGGTGCCAGGATCCCTGGCTGGGTGGCTCCGTGGTTTAGAGCGTCGTCCCATACACCAAAAGGTTCCATCCCCAGTCAGGGTGCATGTGGGAGACTGCCGATCAATGTTTCTCTCTCTCTCTGTGTCTCCCCCTCTCCCCCGTCTTCTTCGCTCCCCCAACCTTCCTCTACCTCTAAAATCAATAAACATATCCTTGGGGAAGGATTAAAAAATGGGGGTGCCAGAAAAACAAAAAGCCAGTAGAAAATATGATTTCAATAGCTATAAAACCTGTATGTTTGGGAAAAATAGAGAACTAGAGGATGATGAGAAATCATAACAGAAACAAGTTTTGAAAAGGACTAACATATGCAGAAAATATTGAGCCATCTAGTTTAGTGAGATAGCAACTGAATCAACCCATGTAAATCAAATGAATTATTCTTCATGTACCTACACGATACTACCAAAGGAGAAAACAGAAAATTGGTCCCTTCAAATTCATAACAGTAAAACTTGACATCAGAATACACATAGAGCCAGTTTCCTGTATTTTTCTTCTGTCTTGACACAGACAGAAAGCCACCCAGGGACGAGCTGTTCATTTCCTGACTTCTAGGCAGAGTTCAAATAAAGCAGCATTTCAGATAATCACGAAAATGCTCGTGAAACAAATGGCCGTTCATGTGGTGACTGGGGCCAAAGACGTGGATTTCTCATTGACTTTCACAAAAATTTGATTATTTAATGGGTTGTCTGAAAGTGTCACAAGTAGCAACGAGACGCTTAAATGTCACTCTTCATATATTTGCATGTATGTCCGTGTGTGTGTGTGTGTGTGTGTGTCTCTCTCTCTGCATTTGACTGGGAAGTCCAATTAGATCAAACGCTGCTGGAAATCAGTGAAAATGAAAATAGGTGTTTTCAAGCTTTTTAGTTAGAAAACAAAGGACACTGTGACTCTTTCTTTTTAGCTCTGAAGAGTGAATAATTGATCAGTAATCACATATTTGTTTGTAGGGGTGTTTGAGGGATTCCTCGGGAATGTAACAAAGTTATTATTTGGGATCTCCACTGGCATAAATTAGGAGGATATTTTAATAATATTATGTCGGCTCATTGACTGCATGTACACAGGACATAACGCCCTCTTTTATTAGAAAATCTTTTATTACAAAATCATAAGCATCTAATTCTGTAACATAATATCACACTCAAGCACACAATATGACATTTTAGGTGAAATGGCCAAATTGCCGTCTATCTCGGGCGAGACATCCACGTACCCAAGCAGGCCTTCCTCCTGCCAGACCCTGTGTCTGCTGGCAAAAGACTTACAAAACCAAATGGCGTAGGTGATATTTTTTTAAATATCTTTTTTGTGTGATTACCTTAATATCAAATGCTTCTCTCTCTCTCCCACATTACCCATGTTCGCCCCCACTGTTTCCACAGTTCTTTAAAATATTAGAATCTTCCCATCAAAAAGTGAGCCCTGCTTGCCCTCACACCGTCTATAGTAACTTTTTCCAGTAAGCACGGAGTTGGCGAGTGGCCTTCCCGCAAACCTGTAACGGAAGCAAAGCAGACAGTGTCCGTGCGGTTGACCCAGCTAGCGCTGTTCATGCCTTGCTGTTTCATACATGGGATTTTTGTCAGAGCTACTTCCAACTCAGTTCAGGGAATAATTGCCACTTATCATTGCTACCCCATCTTGCACTTGAAACATGGTTCTGTTGTTTTGGTTGGGTGACAGGTAAAACATCTGGGAATGTTAAATATACTGTCAGAATAACTCCTAAGGGTAGGAATACCAGAAATACCAATGCCAGATCTATAAGCAACAGAAATATAAATTTTTTAAGTGAACAGACTTATTCTTAAAGAGATGAGCCATGACTGAATG